ATAATAGCCTGGTGCCAGATGTTGACAGTGACTGTGACAAGAATCTTAACAACCACAGGGGAGAAGAATCTCTATCCAAAGGCAACAATTCCTTCTCCTTCACCACTTCCCAGCGTTATCTGATCCGTGTGTAAGGACTGAAGGGGTTTGCCCTCTCCTTGGAATCCCTTTCTCTTCCAAGGAGAACCAAGGGGAGCTGGAAGGGAAGGCAGAGCTGCCTCAGCCCCTGGCACAGCTGGGGAACCTGCTTTTGATCTCAGTGCTGAGCTTGCTCTTCCTTTGTGTGCAGGACAAACTTGGATAAGGTGCCAGATGAAAAATTCCACCTTTTTCTGTAAATCCTATGAAAGGGTGCAATTAGAAATGAGACAAATCTGGGGGTGGGGAGAGAACTCTGACCTACTTCTTGGCAAGGCCTTCCAGAGGCTTGTTCTGAGCTGCTGGGAGTTCTGGCATCAGGGATCTTCCAAAACCGAATTTAAGGAGCCTTTTGTTCCAAAATAACTTCCAGATACTTTAATGAAGTCGGGTTGGACTCTTGTCTTTTAGTTTGGGGGGGTTGAAGAGCTACCAAGAGACTTTGGAGACCCTCAGCTCCTCAGTTTCTCCTCTGTCCAGGCTGATTTTTTTTTCTTAATCAGAAATAAGGAAAACTAAAAAGTACCTGAATGACTTCTGTGTAGGGCTGACTTTGTGTTCCTCTGTGCCTGAAAGAAAAAGCCCTTGTTGTGAGTTAAAATGGGGCGATGGCTGCAGCCTGGCACCGTTCCCATGCCTGAGGATGCGCTCAGGGACAAGCTCCAAGCTCTCCCAGAGGCTCCTGGGCAGACTTTGCTCTTCCTTCTTTCTCCAACACAGCCTGGAATTGTTAACTGGTGACCTGCCTGTCCCTTCCCTCGCTGGGACAGGCTGGAAGGAAGGAGGGAATGCAGGAAAATGCAGCAGCTTCCACATTTTTCTCCGGGTCCCGCATTTCCCCCTGTTGTCACAAACACTGCTGTGTTCTGTGGGGCATGAGATCAGAATGTCCTGAGTTGGGAGGGACCCACAAAGACCATCAAATCCCACCTGCTGGCCCCGAGCTGGGGGTCGTGGGCCAGGCTAGGGGGGGGATTTTGTGTGACTTGTTTCAGTTGCTTTGCTCCAGCAGCACTTGCCCCCTGGGGGGAAGGTTTGTGTGCCGATTCCAGAGGGAGGCCTTTGGTGGGGCAGTGCCCCTGGGGGCAGTCCCTGCAGGGGCTGAGTGTGCTGTGCCCCCCAGGACGGGCTCTACGAGTGCATCCTGTGTGCCTGCTGCAGCACCAGCTGTCCCAGCTACTGGTGGAACGGGGACAAGTACCTGGGCCCTGCTGTCCTCATGCAGGTGAGGGGGGTCCCTCTGGCCCCAGGACGTGTTGGCAGAGGGTGTTAATCCCACCCTGGCCCAGAATTCCTGTGGGGGATGGTTGGAACCCCCTGGTGTGTGAGTGCCTGTGTTTTCCAGGCCTATCGCTGGATGATCGACTCCAGGGACGACTACACAGAGGAGCGCCTGGCACAGCTGCAGGACCCCTTCTCCCTCTACCGCTGTCACACCATCATGAACTGCACCAGGACCTGTCCCAAGGTGGGTGTGTGTCCTCAGGGGCAGTCCTGGCACGGCTTGGCTTGGCAGGGACCTTAAACTCATCCCATCCCACCCCTGCCACAGGCAGGGACACTTCCACCAGCCCAGGTTGCTCCAACAGCATCCCTGGACACTTCCAGGGCTGGGGCAGCCACAGCTTCTCTGGGCAACCTGTGCCAGGGCCTGCCCACCCTCCCAGGGAAGGATTCCTTCCTAACATCCCATCTGACCCTGCTGTTGGAGTTCTGCTTTCCCAGCAGCTCTGCTGGTTTCCAGACAACCTTTCCCTGCACCTGGTGGTGGAGTCATTCCCGGGGCTGTGGAATGTAGGGAAATGTTTGAGTGGATCACAAGTGTGGAGAAGATGAGATGCCTGGGATTTGGGTGGATGTGTCTGTCAGGAGCACTGCAGGCTCATTTAGGGGGGTATTTTTCCAGAGTGGTTCCTTGACAGCCCATAATTCCTCCCTTTTTAGGGAGCTGGCTCACCATCTGGTGTGACCCAGAGCTCAGCTAAAGGGGAAGGTGAAACCCAAGACTTGGCTGTTTGTAGGAATGTAGAGAAACAGCACTTGGGCTGAAATGTGAGGCAGATTTATGGTTAATAACACGTTCTCACTCACATTTCCTAATCCTGGCTGTCTTGATCAGCATGAAAGACCTGGTGGGATCTGCACCAGGGGTAATTCCTGCTCATTCCCTGTCCCACACAGGATCCCCCTCTCATTTTGGGCTTAGGATTGCTTGCTTTGGCACCAGTGCTGCAGGACTGAGCACCTTTGCAATGTGAAGGGTGCCCCTGTTTTTTAGGAGAACCTTTGGGAAGCTCAGCTGGAGCATTTCCATGTTGTGCCCTGACCTTGTTCAACCCCCCAGTGCCTCCACACCCAGCTTTTATTTCAGAATTCCACCTCCCTCGTGCCATCCCTGCCAGGCTGCTCCAAGCCTGTCTCCTGCCTCCAGGACTCCCATAAAAATGTGGAATTCAGTCCTGCTTGAGCTTCTTTGAAGTCCCCTTTGGCTCGTTGTCCCCTTTGATGCCGGCACTGCTGACCAAAGCCAGCTCCAGAGCCGAGGGGGTGTTTGTGTCCAGGCCCAGGGAGGTGCTGCTGCTCCAGGGGAGCTCCCAGCTCTGCTCCAGGCTGCTCCATGGAAACAGAGGCTGCAGTGGAGCAGAGCTGGGTCAGCACAGCCTGACCTCCCTGGAATGCCCAGCCTGCCTGGGGCAGTGTCCCAGCTGGCCCTTGGTGTGTCCTGAACCTCCTCAACCAGCTTTGCAGGTGGAGCCTAAGTTAGACTGGAGTCCAGGCTCTGGGGCAAAGAGGGGCTGAGCAGCTCCTCTGCCAGCTCTTTTCAGGAGCAGCAGCACATTTGGGAGTTGAGATCCATCCTGGAACCTCCCAGTGCTTGAAAGGGAGCACGACATCACATTTTCCTCCAGCTTTTAGGGATAAAAAAAGGGTGTTGAGCAGCTCCTCCACCAGTTGTTGTTATGAGAAGCAGCATATTTGTGAGTTTACTGCAACTAGGATCCATCCTGGAACTTCCAGTGCTGGAAAGGAGGCACATCATCACACTGAACTCCAAATTTTAGGGGAAAAAAGGTCGAGTAGCAGCACATTTGTGAGTTTACTGTGACTTAAATCCATCCTGGAACCTCTCAGCCTTGACAAGGGAGCTCAGTGTCATATTTCCCTCCAGCTTTTAGGGAAAAAAAGGGATATTGAGCAGCTCCTCTGCCAATTATTGTTACAAGAAGCATCATATTTGTGAATTTACCCCAACTGGGATCCATCCTGGAACCTCCCAGTGTAAAAGGAAGCACAACGTCACATTTTACTCCAACTTTTAGGGATAAAAAAGGTTGTTGAGCAGCTCCTTTACCAAAGGCTTCTGAGTAGCAGCACATTCGTGGTGTGTTTGGGAGTTTACTGCCACCTGCATGAGGGGGAGGGAGGATGGGAGGATGCTCCAGGTTTTCCAGAGGAACTAATCAGCTCCTCCCTTTAGGGTTTGAACCCTGGCAAGGCCATCGCTGAGATCAAGAAGATGATGGCAACCTACAAGCAGAAGGCGACGGCTGCGTAACCTCCGTGGATCCCCCGTGGGACCCCCCTGGAACCCCACAGGGGCTCCACCCGGACACAACTTACACCTGGAGGAGCTTCCAGCAGGGAGTTGTTCTTCCCAGAGGTTTGCACTTCCAATAAAGACTGGAAAGAACAGTTCAGAGCTGGTGGTTTATTGTGGAACGATGTTGTGGAATCCCAAACCTCCCCGGGGGGATGGGGGGTTTGGAGGAGCTGGGGTGGCTCTGGAAAGGATGGATTGGCTGGGAAAAGGGAATGGTGGAGAATCCTGGTTCTGAAATCCCAAAGGGAGGATCAGGAGCTGGCATGGGATAAAATCCCAGAGGCAGCTCCATTGGGAACGAGGGGTCCTGTCACCACCTTGCTGGGATCCTGAACTTTATTCCAAGTCCTAAGGAGTTTTTACTCCAAGTCCTAATGAAATGGGATTTATTAGGGTTGAATCTCTTTTCTCTCACACAAGTGTGTTTTTACCCCAAGTTTCTCAAATGTGGGATAGTTGTGGTAGGCTTTTTGCTTAGAGCAGCTCTTTGCATCCTGGGAAGGTCCAGGAAAGAATGGAATTGGCTGGGAAAAGGGAATGGTGGAGCAATCCTGGTTCTGAAATCCCAAAGGGAGAAGCAAAGTGAGGATCAGGAGCTGACATGGGATAAAATCCCTTGGGAACGAGGTGTCCTGTCACCACCCTGCTGGCATCCCCATCTTTAATCCAAGTCCTAAGGAGCTTTCTGTTCCAAGTCCTAAGGAATTTTTATTCCAAGTCCTAATGAAATGGGATTTATTAGGGCTGAATCTCTCTCTTCTCTCTCACACAAGTGTGGTTTTACCTCCACATTCCCCACATTGGGGACATTTGTGGTGGGTTTGTTGCTCAGAGCAGCTCTCTGTTTGCCCTCCTGGGAGGGTCCAGGAGAAAATGGAATTCCTTGCCCTCCTGGGAAGGACCAGGAAAGAATGGAATTGTTTGCAGTCCTGGGAGGGTCCAGCTTTGCTGTTTAATTGATGAGGTTGTGGCCTAAATGTAGTGAAACCTGGTGGGAATGTTGTGCTGCTGCTGCTGAGACTCCCTGTGGTCACCGGGACGTTGCCAGGAGGCAGGAAAGGAGGACTGAGGTGGGACAGACCAATCCCAGAAATTCTGCTGGGTTTTCCATGTATTTTTTATCCTCTAAGAGCTCATTTCTGCCTCCAGAAACCAAACTGGTGTTTCTGTTTTCATTTGCACTTTCTTTTCCTCGGCTCGAGGGTTTCATTCCCGAGAGCTGCTGTGGGACGTGGAAGTCAGAAACTTCCCACTGAAAATCCAGGTTGAATTATCCCAAATTTCTGTGTCTCAGGGTAAGCTGGGTCCATGCTGGTCCTGCACGTGGCTCCTGGGATGGGGAATCCCCCAGGAAGATGCTGTTTATCCCATTAGAACAAGACTTTATCATTGTAATGATATAATACTGTGATTATTTCCCTGCGTTCCATGATCCCAATTCCCTGCTCACGTCCAAGGAGCTGCTCATCAACAGCTGGGATAAAAAGAGCTGTGATGCCCCCTCGTCCTCTCCCACTGCTTTTTGGGAAAAAATGAACCGGTTTTTGCCGCCTTCATTTCGAATCCAGGCCTGTTTCCTGGGAATATTCAGGTGGAAATGCAGCGGGATCTGAAGCCTCTCGCTGCCCTGCCTGAGGATTTCCTGCTCCAATGGCAAAATCCACCTCACCTGTGGAGAAAACAATGGATTGATCTCCCTTCCTGTGCAAGGAACCCAAAGTTCTGTGTCTGGGGTGGGGTTTGGGTGTGTGGGATGGGATGGGATGGGATGGGATGGGATGGGATGGGATGGGATGGGATGGGATGG